ATCACCTTAATGGTGGATCTTCCATTCAGAGTCAATCTCTTAAGGAAATCAAAACCACCTAAGAGAGTAAGTCCACCATAGTCTACTGCCAGGCCAAAAAAAATCATTTCAGCTAACTAAGAAAGGCAGACTCTAGTGCACTGAAATGGTTTCTACATTAACGATTTTTCTAAATTATCCCAGCCACCCTGAATCTGCATTCTGTGGGACAGAATGTCTGGTCAGTGACATAAAATTCCTACTGACTATAGTCATACATTCTCTCCCTTCCAGCCCTAGAAGGTTGCATCACAAAGTATTCCAGTAGACAGAGCTTGTGGGGGAGGGGGGAAATCCCCCCCAAAATGCCAGCTTAATTCTTTCATCAAGGAAAAAATCCTGGATAATAAATATTTTATCAACTGACATTAAAAAAAACGATTGGTGGCTCCATTGTCAACATCATCTAGATTTTGTGGAAAAGAGGTAACAATAATTTCTTATTTAAGACATAAAAGAAGTCCTAACTTTAATTGCTTTAGTATATATAAGTGAAGGAAAAGAAATTTAACTCTGAATGAGTTGTTCAAGAACTGGAGGATGGTTCTTTGAATAGCAGAAGCTTGTTCTCTTTGTTGCCTTTTCCTCCCACATATCAAATTGAACTACATAATTCAAAGTAGAATTTTGCGGTGTCCACTAAAGCAGAAAGTAGGTTAACTGTAATAATGGGTCACATACTGAAGATGACTTTTATTTTTTTTTATATGCACTAGAGAATAACGACCTGCAAAATGAAGAGAGGGAGATATACTGAGATAATACTGTCCACCATTTCAGATTTCAGTTACCAAATCACTGATTAGGATTTTTTTGGTATTAGTTTCTCTGAGTGATCTATTTTTAGTGCGACTCACGTATAAGTATCTTATCTACAAGATAAAACTAAATACATAGGTCAGCTCCAGCACTAAGTATTCAGCAGCTGCTGATGCAAAGGCCGTGACACACATTTTTTTAAGTTCTTTTCTTCAGCCTAGCATTAATAGCTGCTGTCATCTCATGCAACTATAGTCACACCATGATTCTTTTACATGAGAGCACAAACATGCCACTAGAAAACAAGCTAAATCAGAAACTGATAAACATAAACCTTCAATAAAAACAATTGAAAGGTTAGTAGTAAGTTCATGATTTAATAAAATGCATTACCCTGGTATATTGCAAGGTGACTATTGAAGAGGTAAGAGAGGAATAATGGTAATTTCTCAAAATGTTCTTAGTTCCTAGACATTAGCTTTTGCTGACATTCCATAAATGCCCCATCCTCGGGGGGAATTCAGATTCAACATCAGTTTCTCTCCCCCTTTATATGAAAATGGTAGGAGGGACATGATCTTGCATTTCTCCTCAGGAAGTGATTGGCAGGTCCTATTCTAATAAAAATAAATACAAACAGCTCAATTTAATCTTGATTAATTCATGATATAACACTGAAGTTTACTCCAAGGTAAAATTCTGAAAGATCATGGCTCTCCCCCACCTCCCCAAATCAGCATTACTGAGAACTGCATTCTAGCATGTTATTCTCTGAGAATATTTCTAAAGGTGACTGAGAAGCTGCAGATTAAAAAGCTGTCCTCATGTCAGGCCAAAACTAAAAATGACAATTCTTCCAAGCTAAGTTCTTCACTGTTTCACATCTTTAGACAAAATTTTGCCAGGCTGAAAACCCTTACTATCTGTATCTACAATATATTTTATGAGCTATTAGGGAGGGACTGTCTTCATCCTCTTTCTCTCACACATAATCTCTGGATTAAGTTGCCTCTTACTCTTCTAGAATGTGCCCCCTCCCTTCCAGGGACCCACCTCCTCACCACATTCCATCTCACCTCATCTGCATTTACTTCCTTTGATAATTCAACTCTTTGTGGCAATTAAATAATGCAGAATTTCTAAGGCTTGATTGCTCACAATTCAACGGAATTTGTTTGCTACATTATGGTCTCAAGGCTCAATCATCAAAGAGTTTCTTTTTATAAGAGTCATGCTAGCACAGCAAGTTTGAAGATCCATTTGAAGGTTCCAGGAAGAAATCTTCCTAGACATCAAGATAATTCAATAATTTGCAGTTTCAGCTGTCATTCCTAGATCTTGAATTGATTAAGTCCACCCATATTTGAGAACCACAAACTAGATTGTAAATCCCAGTCAGTTCTACTTAGAAGTAGCTGCCATTGAGTAACATCACCAACTGCCACTCTGTCAATTTTTAGCTATATCACACACTTGAAACCTATTCAGTTGCATATTTTTCCTGATGAGCAAGGAAAAGCAAGAAAGGGTAGATAGAGCTAATAATACCACAAGTTCCATCACCTAAAAACAGCTTTGTTATCATGTTCAGTTGCCAGTACAAATGGCACTTTTTCAATATTTAATTTTCCTTTAGGCTGGCAACCAAAGGGAAATTTGACATCCCTTAGGTACGACTTCAATTACTTCCCTCCAAAGGGGCTTGCTTACTTTCAGAAAGAGGCAAGTAACCTCTTTTTTATAACCAGGGAAAGGGGAAGAACACATTTGAAATAAACTGCATTTTAAACATCATTTTCAATAGCTACAGTAAGACTGCAATGAACAGGGCATGGGAAACTGCACTGCTGTTACTTAGCAGTTTGCCACCAAATTTTAGCATCATTTTATTGGGTGGCACTGCCACAAAACAGGGTTGCTCATCTTTTGCATAGTTTTTTGTTACAAACACGAATGGAAATGGTTCTCCATGCATTAACTGGGGGTTCTCAACCAAAGGAATTCTGTCACTCCATAAGGAAACAATCATGTGGATTTGCCACATGATTCATCACACACCCTTCTAGTTTTGTGAATCCTAATAAATCCCATAGAAATGGGAAAATCTCACTTTTGAGTAAATCTAATTGACTATACCACAAAGGGGATTTATTTATATAGGAGCAAACTTTTACCCATGCATAAAGCTAGGCTTCATAAAGGCATGGTAATAGCAATATTTTCCAGTTTAACTGGCTATTGATATCTGAATTGGGAATGTTAATAAAAGGACTCTCGAGCTCCAATTTTATGTTTGAAGCTTAGGTTTATAGATGTAGATCAATTACTTAATAATGAAAAAAAACCTTGATTAGAGATTTCATTTTCCAGTGGGATTTTACTACTACTTTAATAGAGAAGCAATTGTCCTTGAAAACTAACCTGAAAGAAAGGCCAAGTTCTATAAAAATCTCCCTCTAGGATAAATTCCCCAAAAACTGCTTTGAAGGGATTTGTTAACGTATAAAAGCAAGATTAAAAAAACCATGTTCCCTGGAAAAAAGTATTAAATGTCAGAAGCACCAAGTAACCTTGAATGGCTGTGAAAATTAGATGGGTTCTGTTTCCTCAATCTATTGCAGAAAGCCAGAAATGTCTGGCTGGTTGAAATTCATACTTTCAAGTTTCAAATTTCAAGTTTCAGTTTGTGAAATATATTGTATTTCTCCCTCCTCCTATAGAGAAAGCAATCAACTTTCTGAGATTTGAATTTTAACTGAAAGCTCAGAAGTACTTCTTTAATAACAGTAGGAAAAAAAGTGAAAATTCCTGCAGAGCGTTCTTAATTTTAGAAAGATGCTGATTTTCTTCATGAAAATCGCAATTTACGGTACAAATTGTGATCATTGCTTGAAGACAAAACAATCAGAGGTTGAACTATGGTAATATCGAACCGCCCCTTTCTGTCTCAGATGAATTGTTGTATCTATTTAATATTCCTGTCAACTGTTTCAGTTGACAGGAATATAAAGGTAAGATTTAGCACTTTAATTAACAAGATTATATCCAGATATTCGATATATAATGTTAAGTGTAAACAGCTTATTAAATCATTCAATCATGATTTTCCATGCAAAACTTTTTTTAAAAAAAAAATGGTGGCAAGCATTTTTAAAACATACATTTTTAATAAGATAAGTAGTTCAAGAAGAAAACTTTTTTCTAACCTTGAGATTGCGTGCTAAATAAATTACCTCGGAACGAAAGTGATGAGTTCTCATTACAGCATCTAGAAAGAAAAGAGAGGGGAGGGGGAAGACAGGGCTGTATCTGTCTCCATTTCAGCAGCAGCAGCAGCAGCATCCACATTCTATGGAATTAGTCGGATTTTTTTTTTTAAAAAAAAAATTCCAATCACCCTTTGCCATCTCCCACAACTACCATGCAAGCATGCGCTCTTCTCCACGCAGAGCTGACCCCCCAAAGCTAACATGTGTGTATATATCTATTTCCTCTCCTGGAAGTTGACAGGAAAGTTACAGTCTACTTGAGCAACTAGGAGAAGAGGGGGGGAGGTGTTTCCCAACCATCAACTTGACATTTAAAAATTGAGGCTGGGGTGGAGATTAGGCTGCCGTAATCTCTGCTCCTCTCCACAGCCCCTTTCCCAAATTTTTGGAGGGACCCCTGCTATTAGGATCGCCGTCCTCCGCAACGGCGAAAATCATCCTTACCCTGGACAGATGCCCGGGGGGGGGGATTCCCTTTGACATTTCCCCCATCCCCCCCCCCCCTTTTAAACGCGGCCCCCCCCCCCAACCCTTTCTCCCTCCCTCCCTCCCTCCCCCCTCGGCCAAGGTGAGCAAGCCAACACTGCGTCTCTTACCTCGGCTCCTTGAGCGCCCCGCAAAGACCGATTTGATCGGATGCCTCCCTTTCTGGACCTTACGGTGCCAGGAGCAGATGAATAAAATTGTGGCGATGGTCCCCACCAGCAGAAGCAGCAAGAAGAGGGCACACTGGATGCTGTAAGGTCTCAGCAAGACCAAAAAGGCAGCCGCGATCATGGTTCAAACGAGTCTGGGGTGCGCGCGTGTGTCTGTTCGTGTGGAAGAAATCCGGGGAGGATCTTTTTTTAAAAAAAAATAATAAATTGTTGGGTCGGGGGGGTTGCGGGGGTGGGAAGTGGGGGGAGAAGGCAAGCAGCTCCGAAGGAATGCCGAGGAATCAGCCCCGAAGGACAGCCGGGAAGGGTTGGGAAAAAACGCAGCGAAGGGCAAGCTCGCCTCTTCAGACGGCCGGGAAGGAGGAGCATGAGCGTGCGGCCCGGGTATGAGGGCTCCGAATGGCTGCAGCAGCACCGCTCTAAGACGTGCTAGTGATTTCCTCCGGAGAGAGAGAGCGAGAGCGAGCGAGAGACCCTCAGTCCATGACTCAGCAGAGAAGCAGGCGGCAGGAGCGCAGGAGGGGGATCTGGCCCCCTTTTTTTCTTTTTGCGCGCGTAAAAGGGGAAGAGGAAAGATCCAGACGAAGCAAAGATAGAGGGATCAGCAGCAGCAACAGCAGCAGCAGCCGCCGCCGCCAAGCTGCAATCCCGCCTGGAGACAGGGAGAGGGCACCCCAGCAGAGTCGCTGCTGCTGCTGTTGCTGCAGCAGCCTGGCGCTTCTGCCGCGCGCCTTGAGCTCTTGCATCCCCGCAAAACCTCCGGAGCGATGATGTTGCTGAGACGGAAGAAACGATCGCGGCGCCCGCAGACGGCGTCGCCCCTCAGGAAAGCGCTTTGCAGCGGGTGGGGTGGGGTGGGGTGGGGGAGCGGGGGGGCGGGACAGGGACCGGGAGAAGGGAAGGGACGGGTGGGGATGTGGTGGTGGTGGTGGGGGGTCTATTCCAAAGTTTGCTGCCTCTGCCGATGACTGTGCTTGGTGAGGAGGTGTGGGGGGGGGGGCTGCTCGGGTGGTGGGATTGGCTGCTTGATGGTGGATGACATCACGGGCGGCTGCTACTGCAGAATGAAAAATGGCTGCTTTTAAGGTATACGGTTAAGTGAGGGTTTGGTGTTGTTGTTTTTTTTGTTTTTCAGCTGGTGGCAGCCTGGGAGAAAACGAAGGAGGATCATTTCTCGATCCTGAAGGGAAGACACCACCATCTCTCCGCGGCCAGCAGAGAGGGGGCCGAGAGAAGAGCGAGGATTGCATCTTTGGACGTCGGGGGGCGAAGGGGGGGAGAGTTTTCCCTGTGCAGATCTTGGCGCTGCTGAAAAGGAGACCCCGAGAAAGGACCAGAGGAAGAGGAGAAACCCGCGGACTTTAGCTCCGTTTCGGCCCCTTCAGTCCGTCCCGAAATCGCGCGTTTCTCCGCTCTTCCACACAGACGCGCTCGCTCACCGGAGTGAAAACCGGCTGTTGAGAGGGGCGTCGAACAAATGCAGCAGCTGGGAAGCAAGTCCTTTTAACTGTATGCCTCCTCACCGGGAGCCCGCTGAACTCGACGGCTTCTAAATGCAAACGCCGAAGGTTGCGCAGTTACAGAATCGCTACCTTTCATCCAGTTGCTAGGTTAAAACTGCGTCTTTATTCAGCAGGCGCCGTAAAGAGAAACCCGTGCGAGATTATGGCGGCAAGAAAATAAAAGAAGAAATCTGCTAGTAGTATTTCGAACTCGTGACTTTTAATCGGATGTTAGTCAGAAAAGACTCTACCTGTTTAATTCTGATTTATTCAGTAGCAAATCCTGACGAAATCTAGGACCCGTGACCCTAAGTGTGGAACACTATGCTTTTGAGTTTGATTACTGAGGTCAGTTATTCATCAGAGTTATTCATCTCTGATGCTGATTGCCACACCATTTGAAATCCAAATATGTCATTACAGAGACCTGGTCATCACTGGTACTTCATGTTGCAGCACAAGGATAAAATGTTCAGTTAAAAAAAAACTATTTTTTTTACCTTTAATTTTGAAATTGTTAAATCGTTATTGCAAAATTTATTTATTTATTTATAAAACGAGTTTAGTTCAAACAGAAACTCTTTTGAGATACCCAAAAGGACACATAGAGAATATTGCTGAATTGATATTCTGGATATTGAGAGCAGATGCATGCTCTCAATAGTGAAAACACCTAATTTCCCGTCTGCTAACGTGTAATACTAAACTTTTCAGATTTCCTAATATTTTTCCAAAAGAAATTGCTCCATTTTTTTCAATTTTTTTTTTTATTTATTTATTTATTTTATTAATTTTTTATACCGCCCTTCTCCTGAAGGACTCAGGGCTGTGTACAGCCAAAAATAAAACCCACAACTATATGAAAGTTAAAAGACAATTTAAAAATATTAAATAATTTGGCTGAAAGAGCTAAAATAGAAACCACCCATTAAAATAGCATTTAGGCCAGATCTGCTTGGTGAAACAATAGCGTTTTGAGGGCGTGGCGAAAGGTGCGAAGGTTGGGGATCCTACGAATCTCCGGGGGCAGTTCATTCCAGAGGGCAGGTGCCCCCACAGAGAAGGCTCTCCCCCTGGGGGTCATCATTCGACATTGCCCGACGGCACCCTGAGGAGTCCCTCTCTGTGGGACCAGACCAGCATACTGGGAAGCTATCGGTGGCAGAAGCAGTAAGTACCTGGGTACTAAGCCATGGAGCACTTTAAAGATGGCAACCAACACCTTGAATCGCACCCGGAAGACCACCGGGAGCCAGTGCAGCTCACGCAGGAGCAGTGTTACATGGGAGCGTCAAGTCGCTCCCATAATCACCCGTGCGGCTGCATTCTGGACCAGCTGGAGCCTCCGGGTGCTCTTCAAGGGGAGCCCCATGTAGAGAACATTACAGTAGTCCAGACTGGGCATGAGTGACTGTGCGTAAGGAGTCCTGGTCCAGAAAGGGACGCAACTGGTAGATCAGGCGAACCTGATAAAAAGCCACAACAGATGTATGTCACAACATATGTATGGAAATTGAATAGTTCACTTGCAATAAAATATGTAAGATTTTACTGTAGTTTACTGATAATTCACACAACTCAATAAGCCTTGTTTGCTTAGCACTATTCTATTGAGTAAACCACAGTTTCATTTATAGTAAATCATGAACAAGAAAATTATGGTTTACCATATTCTATGAATCCAAGTACATACTTTTTAAAAATTGCACATTTTCCCTTTTTTTGCCAAGAAAACAATACTGAAATAGTTTTTGCCGACTAGAGAAATGTATAAAGAGGAGAATATTTTATAAATCTATTGCATGAGCCCAAAATATAATCCTAAATTTATTTATTTTTATCAGATCAGGCCAAAGCAAATGTGCCAATTGGATTATTAGTTAATCTCAGCATTTTTTAATTCTCAGCTGTCATGATAAAATAGTATTTTGTGCAGCCTGATGTTAACTTAGGCATTAGTTGCATATTGCATGGTGGAACTTCTTTGATTTATAATTGTACCATGAAGTTCTGCATGTACTGTATCTAAAAAGTGCTGCTGCACTGTGTTTAATGGGGCTCACTTTCTTGCAAGTGTATTTAAATTGAACTTTAAGACTTTTTCCTCTTATCTAAACAAAAACCCTATGGTCAGTATGACATACAGTATCCATTTCAATTATCTATAGTTTATCCAGTATTTTTATTTTGGACAATACTGTATAAGCTATAAACTAGGTTGCATTTCCACAATGTGTTACATTAAAACCTGATTGCCCAGTTTTGATTAAGTATGTTGTGGAACTCCAATCAAAGAGTACCCATTGAATCTGCAGGAAAGATATGAATAGAACTCCATGGCATATTAGCAAGGGTTTTTTTTTTTTTTGCCCTACAGTTCATCTTTTTTATCTAATCTTACATGGATAATTTATATTAGGATTCATAATTTAGTTTTGTATACATGCATTGAAAGTGTATTGCATGATGTCACAAATGCAGTCTTTTTAAACACTGCAGTATATTGCAGATACTGTAAAAACATACAGGTTATGCTAAGATTGTTCCTAAGATTCCCATAGCTTCAAGGTGAGGCGGTATTCTTCATTCAGTACTTTGTTGCAATGCAATGCAGTGTCATTTCTGTCACACACATGCAGATAGAACTGACATAACAGGAAAAAGATTTACAATGCACTAATATTTGTGAAAAAATCTTTGAGTGGATAATGAGTGGCAAAAAAAGTTCAGAACCATGAAAGTATGGTTTCAGTACATTTGTACTCAAGTACACTTGTTAACAGTGGTTTATATAGAGATTATTGGTTAATTAGCTCAACTGCCCCAGATTTTTCTAAGTATGTCAGGTTAATTTAATTTTTTTAAGTTGCATGTATTTTAACAATTCATAGATAAATACATTATAACTCACTAATAATCCCCATATTAAGAGATATTTTGAGATCCAAACCAACAAGTACATTTGATAAATGTAAACACTTAAAAGTGTCTAGCAATTAGCAACATAAACCCATCATATAACCATAAGCAGAAACTGCAATCTATCAGAATCTGAACATCTATCTAGAATTCTTTCAGAAAGAACCAAAATAACTGAACTTTGTCTCGTCTCCACTTGGGACTCCCAGGCCAATTTTAAAAAAGCATTTCACACTAAAATATTGTACTTAACTGTTCATCACACCTCTTCTATCATGTTCTATTTGACGGAACTATCTAGATCAACTAATAAATAGAATAAGTGGATGGCATTACAGTAGAAAGAAATCAATATACACAGGAATATGCTTTGCAAATTTTTTTACAAGATCCTCCACCAGCAAAAAGATTGTGACTCACTGAAAGCTCAGATGATACTTAGCATTTTAGCAATAAAGTATTTTTAATTAAGGTATACACGTTGGGTTTTTTTTTGACAAAATACTATTGCATGCATAATAGACCACTGTATAGGTAATCACAGTTCAAAGTTACTGTACAAATGACCCCAAAAAAGAGTTACGACCTGGATCTGAAGTTCTAAAAGTTCCCCCTTCCCCTTTGGTAACACAACCACATTTGGGTGCTCAGCTGCTGGACTACATTTATGGATGATTGCAACGTCCTGTGGTCATGCGACCGTATTTTACAATGGTTTTACTGAAAACTGGCAGTTCAGATTTTGACAAAAATGTGCCATAGCAAACAATGGATTTGCTTAACAACCACAGCATTCACTTAAAAACTGCTGTTTCTTTAACTGCCACAAAAAATCATAAAATTGGGTTGGTCGTGATCATTTTATGACCATTATGACTTGCAACTATAACGGGCAATGTCCATAATGGTCGACTAACTATAGTGTAAATATGTCTTTTATATGCACTGGAAATCCAAAAAATTGTGTGACTCACTTTATTGCATTATTTGTTTTATTGTAATGGTCTGGAACCAAATCCTTAATATCTCCACGATGTGCCTAGTATGCATTTTTATCGCAAAACCATTTAAATCTCTTTGACAGTGGAACGTAACTGGAAATGGAAACCATGCTTATTCAGATGACATGTTTAGCTTTAAGCAAACCATGGCCTGTGGTTAAAGAAACCTCAAGCAATTAGAATGACTTAGCTTATCTTCCAAACATTTTATAACTAGAGATTCACTTACTGCATTAAGCCAAAATTGGTTGAATGAATGCTTGTAGTTTAAATGCTTGAACAAATCTCTTCTGCTTTGTAAGCTAATTCAGAATATTGTGCGAATCAGTCAATTGTGGGTTATATCCTTTAAACCAGGGGTCATCAACCTTTCGGACCTCAGGGACCACTAAATCCATAATTTAAAATCCCATGGACCACTAATATGATCTGCCTAATGACCGGTTGGATGGGTGTGGCTAGGTGATCATGTGACTGGGTGGGCCTGCTCAACTCGATATCACTCATGTTGAGAGGCACCTTGCTGGCCTCTACTTGCCCCTCCCCTCCAAGCCCCTCCTCGCCTGCCTATCCAGGCTCCTTAGTGTTCATACAGGAAGCAGTTATTGGAGCTAAGCTGCCACCACGAGAAAAAGTTGGCAAAACAGCTCAGTTCAAATTGGATCTGACAGAGAAAGAAGTGCAGCAGAAGCATCTCACTGAGGACTACGAGCATAGGCTTTCCAAGCAAAGGGAAGACATGTAGGAGTGCAAGGCCAGGTACTGGCATCTGGAGGCTCAGCAGGCTGAGATGGTCAGCCAGTTCCAGGCCATGGTGCAGTCCCACGGGAACAAGGCCCTCCGGCTCTTTGCCACCAGCGGCGCTTCCCTCCAGCCTTCATCCAAAGCCCTGTACCAGGAGGCTGAAGCAGACTCCAAGTTCTGCCCCCCCGACCCGCACAAAAAGACCCCGAAGGGGGAGACTCTCTGCAGCAACAAAAAGGTTCATTGCACGTATCCAGCCCAGGGGCTTTAGTTTGAGGACCCCTGATTTAGTGCAATATAAAAAATGCAAATAATTTTTCTGCAGACCACCAAAATTTTCTCACAGACCACCACTTGGTGACCACTGCTTTAAACCATAGCTTAATGCAGTGTGTGAATAACCAATGAAGTATGCTGAAGAGGAGCTACAAATTGCCCACTTTCAGATAAAAAAAGAATAGTTAACATGTTAGTGTTAGAATGCTTGTTTCCACAACACACTCAATCACTCAGTTACTTCTGGAGTTTTGTTTCAATTATTTTGTTCATCAGCTTTATAGTTCCTTATAGTAGATGGATGTCCGTGTTATTGTTGAAATGAATGGATGGATGGATGGATGGATGGATGGATGGATGGATGGATGGATGAGTAAACAAACAATCAATCTTGCCAGCAATTCTGGTAGAACACTAATGAAACAAAAAATATAATATCCAAATCTAATTTCTCCATGAAGTATCTCTGTCCCATCAGCCACTGTGACTGGGTGAGTTCAGCCACTGAGCCCCAGGCAGAGCATGCTTTAAGATACAACAGCAGAGGGCTGAGCTCTGCAAGTCACAGAACCTACTGGCCTACTTTTTGGCCAAATTGGCCAAATAGTAGGCCAGGAGAAGAGGAAATTCTGACCAAATGCTTCAGCTGTGCAATTTGCACGGAAGGTTAGCTCGCCTTATTTGTTGGCCTCCCTCCCTGACAGAAAATGCTGACATCTTTTCAAGCCTCGCCTCTGTTATATGTACCTTGCGTGTGTAGAGAGTTAGGAAGATAACCTTGGCAGGATCTCTTGCCTAGGCAAAAATGATGAAGCATTTTTTTAAAACTTGACAACATTTAGAAGGAAATCAGGCAGACACTCCCAGAACTTCACTAGACTATCAGATGAAGGAGAAGGTAGAGGACATTCAGATTTGCACGATTCTTATTAAAACAACTCTTCATAAAAATAGTTTTAGATTTTTTTATGGAGTTGATTTCCTGGTTTGGTCTATTTTATTTAATGAAGCTGATAGAGCTCTGAATTCCACATCGCTGTCTCTCTCATCTGTTTCCTTGGATTTGTCACTTGTTTATTGGATTTCTGGTCTCAACCTGTGCCAAGCCTGTGATTACATTTACAGTTGCCATCTTAAGATATTGGTAAAAAGGACTCTTCTAAAAGTTCTCCCTGAGCTTGCATGTCATTGGTCTGTGGCAAACATCCAGCTTGCTATCTGGTTGGCTAGCAGCCATCAGTACCAGTACAAAAAGTGATGGGATGTAAATCTAATAACTGAATAGCAGTCTCAAACAAGCCACTCCTGATTGAGCAGTAATTACCTCTTCCTTTTGTCATGGGGTAGAAAAATGAGTTGCTTGCAAATTTGGCATATTGAGCAGCTGCTATGGTTAATTCCCTCCCCTTGCTCAGACTAAGAATGAGAGGGGTATATACCTGGTCTGTCTCCATGCAGCTATGGAATCTAGGACCCCAATAATTTCCACCTTTCTACTCTTAACAGTGAGAAGGAACAGGAACACAATTCCACCCCATGTTGTCTGCTTCAGAGTTGTTGAGGAAGCAAGAGTTTTAAATTAATGAAATCGCTTGACACACTTCTGGTCAGTATAACAAGTAAATATGTGAGACCTATGCTTAAGACTTTTTCCACAGACCACAGCATTTTCGCTTTAAGCTTCTTTACTTTCCATGATAAAAATCCATTGCAGGCCCATTCAAAAATTCTAAAAGGTTCTAAATTGGTTTAAAAAAAGTTTTCTCTCCTGCCAACTTGCACCAATTCCCACCATCAACGTCATAGCAGCATATCTGCATTTCTTTTTTTTTTCCGTTTTAAAAACAAACTTTATTAGATTTAAAAAAAAAACATAAAATTGTATAAAACATTCACAACCTTAAAATACAATCAGCAATATCAACAAACAACAAATAAGGTATATATAATGTATATAAGTACACATATATACATATATATACAAGAACTTATTTTCCCTTTTTTTCCCCTTAATGACGGTGTATAATTATTACTTTAAATTTCTTACTAAGTTTTGACTTTACCTTCTTTTCCATTGGTTTATCCAATCATACCAACTGTCCCATATCTTAAAATACTGAGAGTCTTCCTTATCTTTCAATTTCAACGTTAGTCTAGCCATTTCTGCACATGTGTAAATTTTTTGAATTATTTGCTGCTCCGTTGGCAATTGATCTGTTTTCCAGACTTGTGCTAGAGCTAACCTAGCTGCTGTAATTATATGTAATATTAGGTACTTTTTTTCCTTTCTAATGTTTTGTTTAAGGATAGCAGCATATCTGCATTTCTATTAGACTAAATAAAATGCAATGGTCATAAGGAGAATGCCAACACATTAAGCCCAATCAACATTTGCATAAAATTGTGGACAAACATTTAGGTTCTCCAGATTTTTCAATTAGTTAAATGCCTACAAGAGGATTCAAGTGTTAATGGGTGCATGGACAAATGCTCACTATCTTAGCCTGTCTTTAGTAATAAATCATAGCTTGCTCTTTCTTTCTTTTTCTTTGTCCATTCCAGTCAGTGTTGACTCCTAGGAACTCTTTCACAACTCTGTGCAGCTTTCTTGGCATGATTTCAGAAGTGGTTTGACCTTGTCTTCTTCCTAGGGCTAAGAGAGAGTGATTGGCCCAAGGTCATACAGCTGGCTTCATATTGAACATGGGACTAGAACTCACAGTCTCCCAGTTTCTAGCTTCACATCCTAATCACAAAACAAACTGGCTCTTTATAGCTCTTCCTGGAAATCCATAATCTTTCCAGTCCTACCATATCCACTTTATTGTTGTCTTTCTCTAATTTTCTTCCAATGTTGCCAAGGTCTATGATATTTTCTAGTCCGTTGACTGTATCTCACAGCAAAAGTATGTGTAAGTTCTGCTTGTTGATTCTTGGCTCAAGGGGAATAGTCAATCTTTATTTGGTTTTTAGGTAAACTGGTATTGAAAAAAATATCATTATCTAAGAAAAGGGGCCAATAGAAAAAAGGATTGAACTTTATTTGGTCAGAATCATTAATACACTGATAAAAGGAAATGCTGTCTTGAATATTAGGCTAGATGTCAAAAATGGCAATCTATTGCTTTCCAATAAAACATTCTCCAGTGCTATCACACAAAAGTTAATTGTATAATTAATCAGTATTTCTCTCATTATGGAATTTTATTTGGAAAGAAAAAGACAAGAGGACTTTCAATGGAGGAAATTATAATCTGAATTCTTCTTAATATTCTATTAATTACTGCAGTGAAAACTTCATTTATAAACAGTTATTGTGTGCACCTTACCATATTCCTAGCTATAATCTGACATTGGTCTAGCACCTAATGTGCAATACAAATAATTATGCAACTCCTCTATTTCATCTTAAGACTTCAATGCAAGTCACATTTTTCTTTTTATCTTCTTCCCA